AAAGCTATGTAAGTACAAAAAAAAAAGAGTGGTATAAGCGATCAATAATTAATTTACTTTCAGCAGTCAGGGGCAATTAACAGACTTTCCCCCCATTACAGTCTAAAAGGCCACATTGCCTTCTTTACCCCGTAATCTGACTGGCCACTGTGACAATCACGGATTATCCAACCATGAAATCGATAAAACAGGATACGAACCATTCCACATTTGTGCAATTAAATCACATTGTTCATGTCCTAAAAGGTGCAAAAGGAATTTGTAGAGAGGCCACACATTGTGGTAATTTACAACAAGTTTTAGAAAGTAAAGAACTTGTGAGCCTCGCAAGAATAAGAATGAGGAATTTAAATTGGCAAGCATTTTTAAGACACCTTTTGAATGCTTTTTTCCTTGATGGATAAAATTGGTTCTTCTAAAATTAAATATTATTCAATATTAAAAATTTTCACATTTTCTACTCAGTATGAAGGTCTCACCAAGTGCAGGTGTATACGTTGAATGCAAAGTGTATTAGGAACAAAATATAGTTTTACAGTTCTGTTTTGTAACTGTGTCATCCATTCAGACACATTTTTGCAAATACAAAACATTGGTTGTGTATGTCTTCCATCTCCTCTATGAAAAGCAACATAGCTTCTGAGCATGTGTGTGCTAGCCTAACATCAAATATTGACATTCAGATGCTGTAGTGTCTCTCAGTCAGCCAAGAAGAGATAAAGTCAAAATTCCAGTAACTGTTGAGTTTGAGGATGTGCAGGTATAAAGGCAGGATTTATTTTCTAAAAGGTTTAAGGGAGAGTGTAAAGGTATTTGTGGTACAAGATATACAACACAAGGTTATAATAAGCTCCACATAAAGTGTGGCACTCCTCTTGATGTAGGGTGCTCTCTCTCTCTGGCTGTCTAGCGCTCTCTCCCTCTTCTTCGGTACACTACTCAAGTTCCCATGCTGGATGCTGACAGTTGCCTGCGGCATTCAAGAAAAAAAAAATGAGGTAGAGATTCGGGGGAAACTGACTTCTGTTTACAGATATTGCCTTCACCTGTGCAGACCCAGGAGAGCCAGCAGTCCCCTGATCAGAATCCAAATGTTCTGGTCCCTCACTATCATTACAGCCCCTCCAGAGATATTGTAATGCGCCGCTGCTCAGCTCATCATGTGGCAAGACTGACCCCTGCTGTTTCCTCAGTGCATGCATTCATATTTCTTACATGGGCGACAGATCATTTAGACTCTACACTTTCTTCTTCAAAATTTCTGTAAAGTAGGCTACTTTCCTCAATTTTTTATTTTTTTTGTCAGCTTAGTTGTTTTCATATGTATTTACAGGCTCTGTAAACTGAGTTCTATAAAAGTAGGCCTACTATAAATTAATAATTATTATGTGGAATAAAAAAACAATTCAATTAAATTCAAATGTATTTGTATAGCGCTTTTCACAATACACATAGTTTCAAAGCAGCTTTACAGAAAATGACTACATTACAATTTAGAGTGATCTGTTATCATCGGGGGAAACTGACTTCTGTTTACAGATATTGCCTTCACCTGTGCAGACCCAGGAGAGCCAGCAGTCCCCTGATCAGAATCCAAATGTTCTGGTCCCTCACTATCATTACAGCCCCTCCAGAGATATTGTAATGCGCCGCTGCTCAGCTCATCATGTGGCAAGACTGACCCCTGCTGTTTCCTCAGTGCATGCATTCATATTTCTTACATGGGCGACAGATCATTTAGACTCTACACTTTCTTCTTCAAAATTTCTGTAAAGTAGGCTACTTTCCTCAATTTTTTATTTTTTTTGTCAGCTTAGTTGTTTTCATATGTATTTACAGGCTCTGTAAACTGAGTTCTATAAAAGTAGGCCTACTATAAATTAATAATTATTATGTGGAATAAAAAAACAATTCAATTAAATTCAAATGTATTTGTATAGCGCTTTTCACAATACACATAGTTTCAAAGCAGCTTTACAGAAAATGACTACATTACAATTTAGAGTGATCTGTTATCAGAAGTGAATGTGTCCAAGTAATGTTCATTTCACAAATGAACAGTTTAAGATAATAGATTCACATAGTTAGCTAACATTAATAAATTTTAGGCAGAAGCTCATTAAAGCGATTATTACAAGTGTGATCATAATGATTAATATAGAGACATTTTGGCAGATTCAAGTTGGCGTCATCTGGGGTCCTCGCAGGGATCAGCATCATCTCTTCAATGGTGTTGGGTCATCTGAAGTTTTTCTATGAGGCTGGATCCACGCTGGAGCTGATGTAATCTCTAGGTACCTCGAGATGGGCATCTATTCATAGGAACAGAAAGGCAATGGAAAATAATTCAAGCAAAAAATATGTTTGTGACTTTTAGCTGATCTAACAAGGGTATGAGATTCGTTATGTGAATAATAATAATACAAATAATAAAAAAAATTATAATGACATTTGGAATAAGCTTAAATGAAGTTACTACATTAAATTAATAATAACCAATTAAAAAAAACTTTAATAACGATATGCTAAAATAATAGCTCAAATGAAACGTATTATTATGTGAAATTAATACGAACGTGTAACAAAAATGTACTAAATCCTCAACTTCGTTAAAAATAATTAATTCAACATACAATAAACTGATTGATGAAAATATATCGTAGCGTGTTCAAAAAGGTTACTGTTGTTAAAGCAATGTGTTAATGTTAATCTTGCACTTTATTCTGTTGTTGTTAAATGTTCTGTGTGGGTTGGGACAAGCCCCGCTTCCTGGGTGTGTGTGTGAGGGGAGAAGCCTACTGGGGAAAGAGGGGCAGAAGAGTTCCCCGCTGGTTCCAGTGAGTCGGGGTGTGTACGGCGTGGCTGTGGAAGAACACCCCTTGTACTGCAAAACGCCTCGTTATTGTCTCGAGAACGCTACAATATTTTCAAAAGGGTATAATAGCTTAAAAAGATTTGTTTTAATGTACATTATTTATTTATTTTAAATTTATTCTCTCTAC